GAACGTTTCTTTCGCTGTCATACATGGAACAATCCACAATAAAATGTACCTCGTCTTCTACTTTACCTAAACTACAATATTGGCAGATTCTTTTTAATGGTCCAATCACGATCTAACATTATCACATGTACATGCCCCAGGTCTTCCAACCTCAGACACACGCCTGTAGAAAGAGTCCATTTAGCAGAAGGTCGTACAGCTGTGTATTTAGCCTCTTTCCCCCAGTGTTTACCAAAGGAAACCCTATACAGTACTGAGGTCGGGACTTTAGACCACAGAAAGTAAATTCTATGGATGACATCCTCCGACTCCAAATCTAATGCGATAGGGTGAAAAAAACAAGGCGGGCCATAAAAACAAGACTTTCAAATTTTGACATCATAAACCTTGTTAAACAAGAAATGATACCTATACTGTGCTAAGTTTACTGCCAATTATTACAACATCCATTTTCACTGAAGCAACCTTGGAAAATAAAAGTTTTCAAACATTGTACAAATGGTTTTGATTCAGTGGGAACATCACATATAAAAGGATTGAAATACATCACTGCGCCAAGTAAAAGACAAAACAATAAATCAGAGCCTTGTCTTCTCTCTTCTCTTCATATATATCTGTCTCCACATTCCGGCATGGCAACAGACATCTTTGCCATTTTCGGCTATTTGACCACTGTTAGAGGGCAACAGAATTTTTTTTTTAATTTTCAAAAAAAATTTTGTAATTATTTTTTTACAATTTTTTTTTTACAAAAACTAGTTTTCCCGAAAATTAATGCGCGCGCTGATGTCATCCATAAAAATGACTTGCAGTGGCCTTACTCACACAGAGGGGGACACGTGGGTCTGTTAGCGGGCAGTATGGTGTAGGTGTGAACGAGGGAAAGTGGGAGCCGATCATAATATTTACCTCGCTGGTTCACCTGCTATTTATGTTTGGTCGACCCGTAATGTGATAGTGAAAGGACAGGACACGGTTGGTAGTAGTACAGAGGGGTGGGAGGGGGGCACTAGTCTCTACCAAACATGTTCAGTTGCTCAACAAATAGTAATTTGTCATAAAGAGCGAATAATTTGTCAGAGAAATCATAGATTTACACGGTGTCTCTGCCATGCCTTGGGTTGTTGAAAAATTTTTTGAAAAAAAAACCGGCTAAATATGGCATAAAAGGGACTAGGGAGGCTATGGACACGGTTGGTAGTAGTATACTGTCTTGTAGTACAGCAGGTTGGGAGGGAGGGGGGCACTTTTGTTTCTACCAGGCTTTGCATGGAGTAGCTCAACAAATAGTAAAAATGTTGAAAAGGGAGAATAATTCGCCAATGAATTATCCAATCATAGAGTTACATGGTGGTTTTGCCACAGCTACTTGGGTTGTTGAAAAACAGTAAAAATTGGACAAATACGGTAAGGATGGGCCATGGTAGAAGAGTTGTTTTAATTTTGCTACACCAATAGCCATCAATACGAAAGTGGCCAACAATGCCCAATAATGTAAGAGAGTACAACCTTTAAACTATAACCTTTATGTGAGTAACGGAAGCGTAAAACCCCCACACCCCTTTTTATCCTCACCCAGTTTCAACGGAAAAGTTTTTGTTGCATGAGTTTCTTACTAATACTCTCGCACTCAACGCTTCTTTTTCAAGGGGGAACTAACATTGACATTCACACAACGTATATTCTAACTGAACGTATACGAAAATGCAATTGTATACTTTTTACCTGCAACGTGAACCAAGAAATGACAAGTTTTTAATACTTGTAAGATTATCCAAGGCTTAAGGTTTTAATATATCCACAACCCATACTTAAACAGCTGTACACATGTCTTAATGCCCATTCTGACTGGTCAAAACACACAACAAAGAGGGCTATTCAGTAAAGAGGTCCCGCCTTGAGAGGGTCTTGGTTCTTGTCTTGTCACGCGGAGGAAATGTTTAAGATGGGATCATTGTGTCTTAGGAACATTTGAGGAGTGACAGAACACAAATAAAGAGACATTGTCGGAGATGGCACCACTGTTACAAACGTATTTTGGCTATCATCAGATGATGGACATTAAAGTGTGTGTGGGGAGGGGGGCGTGTTCGCAAACAATTCTCAAATTTTGTAGTTTTACTCTTCTGCCCTAAAGTCTAGAAAAAAAACCCTTAAAAAAGTCAAATATCTTAAAGAAATTGTCAAAAAAATCAAGACTGTGACAGGTTGAATACTGCACTTAGTATACAGTAGTATGATGATACATATAATCATAAAATATGAACAAAGAGTCTTTTGGCAAATCTAGTCCTAGGATAAGAAGGCATATCGCCCCTGTTCCAAGAACGGTGAGTTTTATGCATGCATGCCCGTAGCCAGGGGGGGTTCGGGGGGTTCGGAAGGGGGCTCAAAGGTCCACTTTTTGGTCCGCTTTTTATGTAAAGGTCCACTTTTTGGTCCACTAAAGGTCCAAGATTTTTCTTGAAAAGATGGACTGGAATCGTAGAAAAACTGCTCCATTTGTCATTGAATAAAATTTTATCTGATTTTTTTCTTGGAAATCCTCTCAAACATGCACAAAATGCCATTTTAGAAGGTTCATTTTTCAAAATTTTCAGGGGGAGCATGCCCCCGGACCCCTCTAGGAACATCGCGCCTTCGGCGCTCGCCTCGCGCCTACGGCGCTCAAGTTCCCCTCAAGCAGTGGGAAGAACCCCCCCCCCCATTCAAAATCCTGGCTACGGGCATGGCATGTAACGTTAGTAGAACTAGCTATAGGAACGGTATTTTTTAGTGGTGATCATGTAAAAGAGGTATACATGTACAGGTGGCATAATGGGCACACACTCTTGTTAGGAAACAGGACATATACTGTATAGCCGGCGAGTGTTTTATGTATTCTGACAAGTTACACGTTCAAGCGCGCCCTGAGAACACCTTCCAGCAAGGTTACCGCCAGAGTAACAATGTTTGTTATTGAAAGACTTGGAAACATCTGTAGGAGGAACTCCAGGCCCGCCCGAGGTACGGAAAAAGGACCCACGTGTGGAATGATACGGTATGATCACAAGTGTGGCGTACAGATGTCGTCTGACATCCTGCGAACATAAGGTGTTAATTGGGGGAGGGGTCAGAGGTCAGGGTCAAAACATGACCTGATATCTAACACCAATGGGTCAATTTTAGGCCGTAGATAAAAAGAAAGAAAGTGATTGTTTGTTTGTTTATTTCGATCCCCATTAGTGCTGAAAAGCACTATTCTACAAGTTTAGCTCATTGAAGAGCTAATCTTCCACTGGTCCTGACAGAAAAGACAGACGCTATGTACAGTATTTACAGGTTCATTGTACAGGGAAATTCCCCTAGCTAGCTCTTTTCGACAAGCACAATGAACAGTGGACCATTGCTTAACGTCCCGTCCGAAGGACTGCCACCTTAACAGTAAGCGTGCATGTCGGGTGAGCGACATCAGCCGGGATTCGAACTCCCAACCTCTTAGTTCAGAGGCAGGATCGCTAACCACTGGACTACGCACGCTGCTACTAGAGGCGATAGAGGTTGACAATTTGGAATAATGTCGCGCAATACGATACTGACTATGCTTTAGGGTCGACGTCTACACAGAGCGTATAGGCCATGATGGATTATTCTAGTTTAGGGGAATAGTTACACATGTTAGAGGGGCGTCTGGTGCACTTGGAAGCTAGACCGAAAATTGTGTCATCCTGAGAGACTGATACATAAATCAATGTCGGCTGTATCTTTGCAAAATGTCCTTCTGTTTTTCTTCCACTTCGTTTTCTGGTCACTCATTACATTCAGTAACTGCATTCCATTCATTCAACTCAGTGCATTCTTTAGTTTCTTTTTTTTTCTTCATCTATTACATGTATGTGTTATCATATGTACTTTCTTTGCTTATTGTTTCCATTTATAGGTGGTGTTCGGGATATTGGTGTAAAATAAAGCCTAAATCACTCCGCATATTTGCACTGGCCGTATATGTGCTGTGATACCTATCAGTTTTACAATTAAATAGCTCAGCTGTCTTATACGATGTGTAGTCTTGGGTGGCAAGCAGCTGACGTCCAGTGCCGGATGCAGACAGTTTGTTCCGTTTAAGTCTTAATTCTTGAGACACAGGTTTTCTTTTCCTTGGGAAGGCATCCGAAAAGGAAACGGAGACATTTGGTTTCTCAAATATACAATTACCTGGTACAGCATGGTACTTGGCCGATCTGTAAGAGTGCAAGACTAGCCTGCATGCCCGTAGCCAGGGGGGGTTCGGGGGTTCGGAAGAACCCCCCCACAAGGCTCAAAGGTCCACTCTTTGGTCCACTTTTTATCTTAAGGTCCACTTTTTGGTCCACTTTTTATGTAAAGGTCCAAGATTTTTCTTAATAAGATGGACTGGAATCATAGAAAAACTGCTCCCTTTGTCATTGAATAAAAATTTATCTCTGATTTTTTCATGAAAGCCCTCTCAAAAATGCACGAAATGCCATTTTAGAAGGTTCATTTTTCAAAATTTTCCGGGAAAGCATGCCCCCGGACCCCCCTAGGAACCTCGCGCCTTCGGCGCTCGCCTCGCACCTACAGCGCTCGAGGTCCACTCAAGCAGTGGGACGAACCCCCCCCCCTTCAAAATCCTGGCTACGGGCATGAGCCTCCATAGCATGCCAAAGACTAGGGGTTTTGTGAGTCTTCATGGTCTTCAGGAGCTTTTATGTGCTATTTTCTGATTATATTGCATATAGGCAACATAGCCGGTCTGGTTGAATTACCCCCGTTTTTAGAACTGGTCCAATCAGAAAACAACTGAAGACCACCGAACCCCCAGTTCTATAAGCCTGCTACGGAGGCTAATGTAAGACCAAGTCTTGCCACAACCTTAGGTTGTTTCCCTGCCTGTACAGAGTTGTTGATACAGTACTAAGCGCAGACATACTAGACACTTCGCCACTACTGTGGAATTCCTGTCCAGGCCTCTCACACGAGTTTTTGACCATCTTTCGGCAGGTGCCATTAGCCTCCGATCAGAACGTCCCGACAGGTAACAGGAACCCTGCACACTCCACCCAGCCGAGGGAAGGAGACATTACACGGTAAAAAAGTGATAAATCTCTTCTTATAAGTACTCTTCTTTCTACGGTGAAACAAAAGCAATGTTTAAAAACCTCCCAACCGTTCAGACGATACGGAAATAGGATGTTTACGCTGACACTACCAGTTGTCACTGTGTATTTGTGTTTGCCTTAGCGTATATACTTTCCTCTTTTCTAACAAGATGCTAAATATAGTAATGGAAAATCAGCATATGCTGCAAAGCTGGCCATAATACACAACCCATAAGTGTTAAACAGCGAGTTTTAAGTTGCAAGGGTTGCAAGAGTTTAAGATATACATAGCGAATACTGTGAGTGAATTCTATCTGTTCGTTCAATACGAGAATGTATTCTTTCACTGTAGTTGCGATATTACTTTTATCAGTAAGGTCTGAGTGGGCCAGCAAATTCGAAAGACATTCCCTCGACTCTTGTCTCGGGGAAAATGACTCTGTGCTTTGCAGGAGCGCTGATCTTGAGGAAAAGAAGAAGAAGACGATGATGAAGACTCCTTCTGCGGGTTTGACTATACCGTGGAGCGAGAGTTGGTCCCTACGGACCCTGGGACAGGGCGCCGCCGCAGGCAGATTGCGATGTACGGTAAGTTATCCTGTATCTGTATCTGTGTAGCCAGTATAACCGCCTTCGGCGTAACACACCAGCTTCGCAGGCACGCGGTGCGGCGGCAGCTGGCTACATTACACCCATTGACTTGTTACACCTAACCCTTGAACAACTCTAGAATTGTTTAAAGCTATCTAATGATAATGCCCCTACTGTACTTGGTGACAGCGAGTTCCACTTTGCGATAGTTCTAGGAAAGACTGAATTCTTGATCACCTCAATCCTTGGTTGATAACTCTGGTACTTGAAGTCATGGCTATTTCTTGTTCTCTTCTGGGCTGGTATTAGATACACCACGTACTTAGTTCTGTCACACTTTTTTTTTAAATTTCAGTATGGTATGATATGGATGAAATTTATTGCTTTCCTTTGTTTCTTCTCCGTCTTCTCCTCCTGCCATTTCTTGAAATGGATTCAATTTCTTCGTTTTGGGGTCAAATTGGGGCCCGTGTGCTAAGGATGCGAAGTATACAGAAGATCGATTTCCTACTCAGGATCAGTACTGTGGAATAACTTATCAACTAAGTTAAGAACGGCTACGTCAGTTGCAGCTTTTAAAAACCGGCTGCGTCAAGCAACTTAGAACGACTAAATATGTGAACTTGGATGTTTGATACTGAGATACCGAGATAGTGTTTGAATTTTGTACACTTTGTATATATTTATATTGTAATTCTACTATTGATTGTAACAGAACTGAAGAATTTGCAAAGACCCCTGACCTACCTCCCCTTGACCTCTTGAAAAACGGCCTAGGCCGAAGAGTTGTACTAATACCAACATGTACTGTACATTTCAAGGTTAAAAAAAAGGTTGAAAAAAAAACAACCCAGAACATTTAGATTCAAACCCGACGTGTGTTTTGTCGTTTGTAGGAAACAAGTGGGGTAAGAAGCATCTGACGTACAAGATCATTAACGCGCCCCAGGGGGACGACGCTGAGAGGTACTTTGTAAATATGTAACGTTAATACTATGTATATCTACAATGTATGATTTGAATGCTTCTATTTTAAAATTGCAAATTTATAAATGATATCAATGTAAAGAAATGTTTCTCTTAAGGTTTTTAATATTCTGTGTAATTTCGATAATGTTTTTTGTAGATTAGCGCCATTTCAGATTGGTCTGAAATCTGCCAAATGCTAATAAAGCTACATGTAGCCTCCATAGCATGCCAAAACCTGGGGGTTTTGTGGGTCTTCATGGTCTTTGGGAGCTTTTATGTGCTATTTTCTGATTGCATATAGACAACATAGCCGGTCTGGTTGAATTACCCCCGTTTTTAGAACTGGGCTAATCAGAAAACAGCCGAAGACCAACTGGTAACGCCCAGTTCTATAAGCCTGCTACGGAGGCTAGTGGAGGGGGCTATTTGGGAGTATAGTTTGACCAAGAAGGTTAGATTCAACCTCCTTGGATTGAGAGAAAGCTGACGAAAGAATTGGATATAAAAAGGAAAGCATAGATTGAATTAGATATGTCTAATAAGATATGTTTTACCTAGTATACAGTAGCTGTCCATTAGAATTTTAAATTGAAAGAAAAATAAGGGAAATCGTAGATTTCAAACCTCCGGGTTTTTTTTGTGTTCTATTGGTTTAGGTTATTTGTTTGTGTGTAGTATGAAAGTTATGTGCGTAATATGTTTGTATGTGTTTGATGGCTACTGACGGTTGGTTCGGTATGGACTGTTGATTAACGTGTCTCACAGTCTGACAGCCTGCACCGTCACCCGCGCCATTACCCCCGCCGTCATCCCGCGCCGTCATTGCTGCGCCGTCACCCAAAATTTTTATCGGAACCAGACACCCCTCTGTTTGACCCCTTTTGAATGCTAAGACCCAAAACTGCAACCGCCCCATTCCTTAACAACATGGTAATTACCATTTTCAGCATGGTGGGGGTGTCCGGAGCACTTAAAAACCTTTTATTTCGACGCCCATAAACACATATGCAATCAAACAAAAACATTCTGCATCATCTGCAGCCCAATAGCAATACGTATACCGAACCACAGACCAATCCGTCCAGCCGATCGCGAGAAACAGCTGCTGACAGAAATGTTTCGAACCATAGTGAAACCTCCTCGCGGAAGGATATCTCCTTCCCCGGAGGTAATAAGCCTGCTAAGGAGGCTATAATAAAGCTTTCTTATGTCTTATGTCTTAGGTACCGGGTCCAGAACACCCTGACGCGCGCCCTGAAACTGTGGAGCGACGCCTCGCCACTGTCCTTTTACGAGGCTAAAGAGGACGAGGACGCCGACATCGTGGTCAAGTTCACCCGAGGTGACCACAGCGATGGCTACCCGTTTGACGGTCAAGGTTTGTTTTTGTTTGTTTGTTTGTTTGTTTCGCATAACCGGTAAACCGCATGTTTTGGCTTAACACACCAGTTTTATAAATGCAAGTACAAGCTGTGTGAGGTACGGCTACCCGTTTGACGGTCAAAGTGGTAGTTTGTTTTGTTTGTAGTTTGTTTAAATCTTCAAGGCCTAGATTAGTTTATCCTCTAGTGGTTGTTAAGACTATTACGTTATTCTGTTATCCTTGTATTGGGTCGGTTGGGACCACTTTTAGTTCCTAGCCTAACCAACCTCGTATTTTCATGGGTGCTAAACGGTCCTTTCATGTTTTATTTTGACGCGTAAAAATCATTGGCTGCATGTGCCGCCTATTAAACTTTAAAGTACTTCTCCCATAGCCTGTAGTAATCCGTTACATGTGTTACAGCTATATGTTTTAGTTTTAGTTACATACTATTAGTTATTTCATGTTCATCATAAAATACATTTTCTTACTTATTTGGCGTCCGTAACATGGCGCCCTGTAAATTAAAGCTAACTTTTCTTCGACTACAATTTAACGGTTTCTGAATTAAAGGCTACGTGTCTCATTACGTACGGAGTGTAAGTCTGAAATCTCAGGTTTCCTGTCACCCCCAGGCGGTGTGCTCGACTCGGAACCAAGAGGTCCCGGGTTCGAGTCCTGACATGCCACTGATCTTGTGCCCTTGGGAAAGGCACTTTACACGAGTTTCCCGTGTATTGTATTGTCTTGTCCTGTATTTGTCCTCTGCGTTGGTGGCGACATAGAATAATTAAGTTGATATAACTTGACAGTTTGCTGTCATCTGATGTCCAGTCATGAAATGTTGGATTATATATTTTTTAAAAACTTCCATGCTGGGTCTCCTTTTCCCTGTCCACCCCCAGGCGGTGTGTTCGCCCACGCGTTTTTCCCGCACGACGGTGATGTCCACTTCGACGACGACGAGCCCTGGGCCCTCGACAACTACGTGGCGACCTCCCGGAAGGTACTAGTTATAGTTAAAGTTAAAACTTTGGTTCCAACACAAAAAGTTCTCTCACCTAGAGCTTTCGACCAGTCACTCTGGTCTTCCTCAGTAGACTGACCCAGTGAAGCTTGTCACGTGGCTTCTTTGAAGTGTGACGTCAACACTGGGTCAAAGGTATCTGGTAGACGATGTCGACCCCCGTCGCGGTTCAATGTAGGGTGATGGGCCCTGATGTATATGGCTTCCTTCACCCCTCTACAAACCCCTCATCGTTTAACAGCTACCTTTGACCCATTGTTGACGTCACACTTCAAAGTCACGTGACAAGCCTCACTGGGTCAGTCTACTGAGGAAGACCAGAGTGACTGGTCGAAAGCTCTAGGTGAGAGAACTTTTTGTGTTGGAACAAAAGTTTTAACTTTAAACATGTAACTACCAACACAGATGCACTTTCATGATAGTACTAGTTATATTATATCTTGTATACTTTTGACTGTGCATAAATTGTAGTTGTAGTGTGTTTTAGTGCAATAACTTTGATAAATTTGTTGTGTAATTATAACTTTTAACCTTTAGTAATAATTGTACAGTCTATGATAATGTATGTAAATTGTATGTACTATCACCATAATTCAGTCTTAGGACTGCAAGTGTGACATATGTGAGGGAAATGTCAAATAAACCATTCTTAGGACGTCGATGAAGGTCAGACATCCAGGTAATACGATACGCCAAAAAGCAGTTACTCAAGCAACTGGATATGATTTTGAAAACGTCAGACGTTTCAGCTAGTATCCACTAGCTTTCGTCAGTGACTGAGAGACCAGAGGGAAAATGCAGGTTTATAAGCACAAACTATTGATCGATATGCAAATAAAGTGAAGACAAGTTGTCTTCACTTTATTTGCATATCGATCAATAGTTGATAGATACTAGCTGAAACGTCTGACGTTTTCAAAATCATATCCAGTTGCTTGAGTAACTGCTTTTTGGCGACGTCTCAGGGAGGAGCCTAATGGTACAGTATTGTGTGCAGTTTGCAAGAATTCTAGGAATGGTACATGCATTTTGTCCACAGGAATGGAATGTCCATAGGCATGTCTCTGACTTACATCTATGCCCACATTCCTGGAAACCCTTGGGAAGACCTCTCTGCCCCTAACTTTCTGTGACCCCGGGGCTCATTCACTATACACTCAGGGGAGGAGTGCACTGTATCTGTCTAGACTAAGTTAACAGGTACCAAGGCTTCCTCAAAATCATGAAATGATGGCAGTGCCATGCAAACAATAACCCTAACTGCAACCACCGTCGCCATGGCAATGTATGTTTTCATTGACAGTCTTGTTTGGCATTCTTAGGACCTGTACATCATCGCGGCACACGAGCTGGGCCACAGTCTGGGCCTGGGCCACTCCGACGCGTGGGGCGCCCTCATGAGACCCAAGTACACGGACGTCAAGTGGATGAAGACTATCAGCGCGCTGCCACCAGAGGACAGGAATGCCATACAGGCTATGTACGGTACGTATTTACCAGGCTTCGGGATGCGGCTGGAAAGAGTAGGAAGCGGTCAAATAGAGAGATAACATGCCGAGTTGGTCTGCTATAGAGTACATTTTGCCACACCCGAAGCTATTCTCTTGGAATGCGTTATCTCTATTTGGCAGATTTCTACCTACTCTACAGGAGGGATTTTTTGCGACGCCTCAGGGCCGGGGAATTTTCTGTAGTGTTGTTTCTTGTACGTGGATAATGCATGAGAGTGAAGTGACCGGGAGGGAATTTGATCTCAATTTGATGTCAAAACTGGCCATTCTAAGGCTTCCTACAGGAGAAAAATTATGGTCAGACAAGTTACAGTCGAAGCATATGGCAATGCATAGTCAGTAGTGATCAAGATTAATCTTCCTCTTTTGGCAGAATGTATATTCCCAATGATAAGAGGAAGCAACATAACTGATTTTGAATATGGTAAGCTTTAGAAACAATTTTGAAATTTGTGAATACCGGACAGCACTTGTATAAGGAAAAGAGAAAAATGATTATTATGAAAAGCTTTAAAAAGATTTTGTAACTTAGGGCACTGCTATGATCAGTAGATGAGTGAAGTTTACCAATGTGATGTTGTGTTGTGTTAGGCCCGTGCCCGCGGCTGGAGTGGAACGTGCGCTACATGCTGGAGTCGTCCCGCCGGTCCGGCAGAGCACCCAAACAGAGACGCCCCAACACCTGCTCTGCACCGTACGACGCCATCTTCCTAGGTAATTTTTTTTATACGGTAATTAGCTAGCACACTCTTACGCTTCAAACAAATATGCAAACAAGACTGCCTGCCAATTGTACATTGATATACAAATTCATCCCTTCACTTATTATTTATTTGATTTTTGTATGATTGATTTTATATTATTTGATGTATGCCTAAAAATTCAGAATCAACTGCAAAATGCTGATATTTTGCCCTGAACATTTGAAAACAGTCCTTTTCGTCCTAGTCATTACAGTTATTCCATCTTTCAATGCAGTGGTATCATTAGAAGTTCAAAATTCATTGTTTGAATTTTGAACCAGCCTTTTGTGTTGACTTCATACCTCCTATCGTAGCATTTGGGGCTATAATAGGATGCCTAGATCTGTTTTTATTTTTATTTTTTTTCGCCCTGTCGCTTCATATTTTTCCTGAAAAAATCCGAGAACCAACAAATTAAATTGGTGTGGCCTTACTTAAGTTTGTGTTTACCATTGAGTTAACTTATTTTAATTTGATAGTACATAAGTTTGTTCAGCGATTACTTTATGTTATATTGTTATCATTTTATTGTGTTTGGGGATTGCCCCCAGGGTACATTGAAAAGTGCCATTCAGGGTGATATGTTCCCTGGTTAAATAAATAAATAGAAACTTTATTCGCAAGATCATGCCCGAGGGCTAATTGCTTTAATTTACAATCAAGTATAATACTCATTGCAATACAGTAACAGGAGACAGGTAACAACTGTCTGGAAAAAACTTCTACTTCTACTACTACGCTAGCTAGCTAATAAATAAACAAACATGATGTTGTATTTGGCAGGCCCTGACAGAAAAACCTACGCCATGCGAGGCCTGTACTACTGGCGTCTGAATGTTTGAAATGTGCATATGTGAGGTAGTATGTGTGAATATCATAAATATTGCCTTATTCATAATATTTCCACTTCTGCTGCTCTGAAATCGCATTGGATCGCCTTTAACCTGATGTTGTATTTGGCAGGCCCTGACAGAAAAACGTACGCCATGCGAGGCCTGTACTACTGGCGTCTGAATGATGGGAACGAGATCGGGCGGCCCATGCCTCTCCTTATAAGGCACCGCTGGCCCGGTCTCCCGGGCAACATCAACGCCGCCGTGACGTCAGCATATACAGGCAGGACATACTTCTTCAAAGGTAAGGCCACACCGACTTAGTTTTATGGATGACATCCACGCGCGCATTGATTTTCGCCTGTTCTAAAAAAAATCATGTTCTCTGAGGCCCTGGCCTGGCTCTAGGCCTGGGTAGTCTATGGTAGTTATCACTCCCAGGCTACCGAGGTTCCACCACTCAAGAACTCATAGCAGTACATACGTACAGTGCCGATTCATAAATTCTGCAAAAAGCCAGCATGTCTCCTCTCTTCATATCTATCTGCCATCCACGTTCCGGCATCTTCGCCCATTTTTGCCCAAGTCATGTGGACCACTGTCAGAGGGCAACAAAATTTATTGTTTTTTTTTTCAAAATCAGGTGAAAATTAATATTAATTGCTGTGGCCTAACTTCCATATTAATCTATTGTTAACATTTTTGAACATTTTGTTTCTTTGTTACACTTACAACTGAAAGCACCTCAACTAAAGTTAAGAGTCATGTCAGGACACGGTTCCTGCATGTACACAAGCGTCGCCCTTAAGGACAAGACATAAAATACAAAAACATCCTTCAGGTGTTTGGGTCAACCTTAAAGAAAAGCAACGCGACTTAACACGACAAAACATTGTCTTAATATTTTCAACAGTAATGTTTAAGTTATATATCATTGTTACTTAAACAACAGATGTCACTTTATTGTATTTTTGGCATACAAGTATGTTGAAAATCTCTTTGGCAACGGAAGATCGGTGCTAAGTAGAAGTACTTCAGGAAGACTGTAGTGTTTGTTGACTTTCATATCCATATATACCTCAGGAATACCAGTAATGTTTAAGCTATTTCTCATTGTATTACCTACACAACAGATGTCTTTTACTGTTTTTTGGCATACAAGTATGACAGTTTTTTCTTGTTTAACATCTCTTTGAAAACGGAAGATCGGTGCTAAGTAGAAGTACTTCAGGAAGACGGTGTTTGTTGACTTTGATATCCATATGTACCTCAGGAATACCAGTAATGTTTAAGCTATATATCATTGTAACCTACACAACAGATGTCTTTTACTGTATGACAGTATGACAGTTTTTTTGTTGAAAATCTCTTTGAAAACGGAAGATCGGTGCTAAGTAGAAGTACTTCAGGAAGACGGTGTTTGTTGACTTTCATATCCATATATATAAATCAGGAATACCAGCTGTAGTTTAGAGCCCGCTCCCTCTTGACCAAAAAATGCCACGCCCGTGCGAGTTTGGTTTACCGTCGGCGTTCTTCCCACGAACCGTGGCACTCCCATACCGGTAGAACACATACAAGTGCCCAGTACAGTCTCCAACACAGGTGTTTAGTCTCTACCAGACTAACTACGCTGGCTATATATAGGAGAATATTTGCCAGGGGAGTTTGGCCGCCTTGCAGGTTTGACTGGTCTGAACCTGAGGGAAAGAAACTACCTCCCCGCGGCCGGACTCCCTTGGTCAATTTTACTCTATATTTTGCCGAATTCTTTCCGTAGAAAAGCCTGGTGGAGGCTAACAGGTGTCCAGGCTAAGTAAGGCACTAGAAGAGGCCCACATAGCCTCAAATCAAACCCTCAATTATGCTTTGCAAAAAGGCTGTTGAAATTATACTTTTTGTTAATAAATTTTGTTTAGTTCTTTAACGTGCTCGAGGTGTGGCTCTCCTCAAAACGTTTGTGACTTTCCTAATATGGGCACAACATTGGAACTTGCTAAGGATTAAAACTTTTGAATTTTGTGTCAACAACCCTAGACACAATGCCAACATATCACAGCATATTGTTGTGATCTATCCCTAAAAATGCGTTTGTCTGATGCAGTTATCAAATTATCTATTATTTTTTAAGGACTTTTTCCATTGTTATTCATAATTAAGTGCTCTGGCCTTGAGATAAATGTTGCGTACATTCTTCCCCCAAATATTTGTTGAAAATCCGAGAAAAATTGTACGGTTTCAACATTTTAATAAGCTAGCCAAATCCAGGAGGATTAGCTTGTATCAAAATGACATTGGCTCCATAATGATCAGACTATATCGTTTCCTAGATTTTAGCCAAGTCAGCCTAGTAATGCTGGGGTCACATTTCCAAACCGGGGCCCAGCCGGGCAGCTTTTGGGAACGAAAAGTACGATATAAAAGTCAACAAAACACAGAAACGTTTCCGATGGTAATCATGGGCACTATATCTACATACTCTTGATATGGATTGTTAATTTTTCGTTCATACAGACAGCCCGGCCGGGCCCCGGTTGGGAAATGTGACCTAAGCATAAGCAATACGCCTCATACAAATTGTTACATCAAAGTCGAGGTGGTACTTAGTACCTGGTTTCAGCTATCCTTGTCCTATTGAGTCAGTATTGTTCACGACAAACAATTGGAATGAAAGGTTGATCTATAGGTGTGTGGCATGAGTATTTTCTGAAGTGTTGTATGAGTGGGAGGTATTGTGTTAGTAACGTTTACTAAGAAAACCAGTGCGGTAGGTAAGGGTCAGTAAGTCTGATCAAAGGTCAACACTGATACTGAGGAACGAACACCTGCACCTGTACCTAATACCAGCCCAGAAAAGAACAAGAAATAGCCATGCCTTCAAGTCCCAGAGTTATCAACCAAGGATTGAGGTGTTGAAAGCTACATGTAATTCTTTCCTAGAACTATCGCAGAGTGGAACTTGCTGCTGTCACCAAGTACAGTAGGGGCATTGTCATAAGATACATGTAGCAGCTTTAAACAATGTTTAGAGTTAATTGTTCAAGGGTTAGGTGTAAAATACTAGTAATCATTATAGAGAAATAGCAGTAAATAGTGAACATACCATCCTAATCAACGTTTTAAATAATGAACCTTTGGTGCCTTTGTAAATGGTAAAATAGTAACACGGGGACAACTACTTTATTAATTTCTTAGTTGTTGTTAAACCAAAATAGTACAATTTTAGGGTTGATTCATGCTTTTTTTAATCAGAAATAAAATGAAGTGGCAAAGCCGAGAAATACCAACTTCAAGATGTGTTGTATTGAAGAAGTGATTGGCAATGTATTATTTTGTATCTAAGGAGTGTTTTCTTTTATTTTTCAGGCAACCGTATATGGAGATTTAAGGACAGCATTCTGGATGAATACTACCCGATCTCTCACAACGAGACAGGCCTCCCTAGGAGCCCGGACGCTGCCTTCGTCTGGGGTCCCAAACACAAAATCGTCGTCTTCAAACGCTCCAAGTTCTACATCTGGAACGAGTTTAACCGGAAAGTGGAGCCGGGATATCCTAAACTCATCCGGAAATTCTTCCCCGGATTGCCCAACAATATCGACGCGGCTTTCCAGTGGAAGAACAGGCACACGTTCTTTTTCAAACAGGGTTACTACTGGAGATATGATGACGAGATTGGCAGCATCGCGAAGTGCTACCCTCGGCCGGTCGCTCTGTACTGGAGCGGGTGTGGAGGGACATCATGGGAGCGGAAACAGTTGTAATTTAGAGAATTAACATTTGCATTTGGAAATGCATAATGTTTACCTTCGGACATGGTCTGCTCTGTTAATTCTTACTCAAACACATTCACATACATGTACTAAGTATATGGTGACAGGAGCAGAGCAGACCATGAAATTGCAACATTATGTAACCCAACACCAGTCACCATGGTGACAGACGTTGTCATTGGTCAGGTCAGAGGTCACTGTTGGAGAAGAAGAAGAGGAAGAAACTGAGCAAAAACAAATGTTTCATCACAGGTGGTTGCTGAAACTGCAGTTTGGACGATTCCAATTTTCATGGCAATGAAGACATTGACATCTACAAAATGTAACCTTGTTCGAAAATTTATGGAGGACTGCTATCCTATATATGTATAAGCCCATGTACAATGGGAATTTGGGCCGCTAGGACTAGTACTAGTACTATTCCATCAAAGGTTTAGTTATACAATAAGTTAGAATACATTCTGAAATGCGTGACTATTACAGAAAATGTGTGAGTGAGCTCATATGATAGTGCTTAGTGACCTTCCAACTATCCACATCAACTATAGTATGTACATGTTTAAAATATCCTCTTATCAACGTTAACCTTCCAAAAGTTACATGTAAGTTGGGCATCTATTGCCGATATGCTGCTGGTATGGTATATTATGTATAAGCTTTACTATATGGGGTGTTGCATGCTATGCTGTAAGAGGGAGGGTGTGTGTGCTCGTTTTTCAAAATTCGTTTTCTGTGGAACCCAGCGCGGATTCCTGGTGCACGAATTGAACTCAAATTCCAACATTTCAATGTTCTATACTACTATAATTATGTAATTATAATAGTGTCTATGGTGCTGTTTTTACATGCATATTGCTCTACTAACTCTGCCATGCTATCTGTCTAGTGTGGTAAAAGTGTAGCCTGGTTACCAAACCTATTATAGCTCCAGAGTCCTACAACCTCTCCACAAATAGCGGAGAGGCTGCAGGACTTCAGCATCAAAGTTCATCTGAGTTGGTAAATTACATTATGAAAAATTTAAACTGTTCTCCAACTCATAAATTTCGCTCACCGGAATTTTCGACTGAATCACTCAGTCTTCCATGAGTGAAATTTATGAGTTGGAGAACAGTCCAAATTTTTCCTAAGGCTGTAGGAATATTTGAGGTGAGGCTGTAGGACTCAGGAGCTAAAATAAAATTAATGTAGGTTTGGTAACCAGGCTAGTAAAAGTGGTGCTTATTAAGAGATTATGTTTGGGTGTTTATAACATAACGTAGCACCTGAAATATGTAGGTTATCGTAAGCATGTAAGTGATGACAAGATAATGCCCGTATTTACTGTCACAAGCCTATCTGAAGAGTGTACATAATCTTTTGTGAGCAGTGATAACTATCTCGCCTTCTGTGTCAGACTGTTTGGTCTTTGTGAACCCCTTTTTAAACACAACAACAGCAGTTAAATGGGCTATCCTTCCTCTTTATGTAAACACTGGAGTGTTGTGGGAGAGGCAAGTCGGTAGGAAGACATTTTCTTTCAAAGCAAAGAAAGGTTGAGCGGTGTTTCTGTGTTGTGTTTGTGTGTAGTGCCGGTCAAAACAAACAGATAACAAGTCTGAATGGGCTGTGGGCTTCTCGAGTGCTGTGGATACTTGTAGTCGCACAAAGCCCATCGCTTCTGTATCAACACAAGTTGGAAAATTACTTTAAGGACCCGGCCGAAGGGGTGGAGGATTTCAGACGGTATGTTTGAAACATGTACGTGGAGTCAAAACAGGCAGCAAAGTAAATATACAGTCAAGCACTCTGCATTGCTTCTTACAATACATGTACTTTTGTTGCACTAAATGATGTGTATTTGTCTTTCTTCATATGAAAATGTACAAATGCAGTGAGTTTGTATATATTCCCCCACGGCGTGCATTGATAATGATAGTCAGTGACTGTTTTGAGGTATTGTGATCAAAACAGACGACAGACACCTGTCAGACAAGGCCACCAAGGTACACATTACTTTGCAAGATTATATTCCCCAAGACTGGATTGAGTTTATGCTGAACTTTCCTCTGAATAGTGTTATATTCTTGTTGCCCCCTCCCACTAAGATTAACTTAAATTCATAACGTTTACAGAGTTACAACTACTAGACATATTCCTTGTGATATTTTATGATACTCTGTATCATACCTAATTGAAAGTCAGAAAAGAAATCAGCTACATGTACTGCATAGTGTGAAATATCTTTTCCCCTGTCAAAATCTTAATAATTTTCCTGTCTTTCTCGGCAACTTCCTACATCTACCTTCGCTTGTCAACAGACACAGTCTATCTTACTTTTTCATTTAAAGTACAGGAATTCATAATACCTGTACTACATCCGCATTCAGTAAAGCAAGATATCCCACATAAGGCCAAACCGAGTAATTTTTATGGATGACGTCCCCATGTGCATTCATTTGGTTTTGGTCTCAGAAATCTGCGAAGAAAGCTACCCCCATAGACAAGTAAGTCAGGCAACATTTACCCAAAAACCGTTCCCATGCACAGTACCTTCAGCTGCGGGACATGGGTAAACACAGGGATGTTTCTGGGGCTTAACTTTCTTGTCTTCATGAATAGACCTGGAATTCTCTGTATATTTACCGTACTTTGCTCAATAAAACGGGTGGTTGGTTACTAAATCTAACCACGGTGATCTCTGAACCATGGCATCCAAACTAACAGCAAGTCTTTTCACTTGTGATTGACTTCATGGATTTTGAAGAGGAAAATGAACTGACTGGAGACCCGAAAATTAGATTTTGGGTAAAATTTCAAAGTCTATGTATTGCTTGACTGACTCCAAAGTATATGTATATACAGCTTCAAGAAGGCCCATCCTTTTCAAAGCTGCATGCGAGTAAGAAGTTTAGACAGCTTTGTGTCAGCTACCTTACTATGCCATTATCACACACGTGCCCCTAAAACTACGCTATTAAAGTGGAGGTAATCAAAGAATGATCGTGTGGCGTAATGGCAGGGTCCAGAACACAAAAATAATGTCCTCGGTTCGAATCCTGAAATGTCACTGGTCTTGTGCTCTTGGAAAATGCACTTTACATGGGTTTCCAGTTGTAACATGGGTACCTGACTTTGGTTGGGGAGGTAAAAGGCAGTGGAAGGAGAGGGATGGGCTCCACCTTCCAATACCATATATATATGCCCTAAACACAGTTGATTAACAACCCACTGTCCCTACAGTCTTACAATGGCTACGGGACTACCTTTACCTTTTTTTTAAATCCAAGAATACTGTATTTGTCAATAGTTTATCCAAAATCCTACAAAGTATTGCCTTAATGGTAAATTACCTGATTAAAAGACACACGTTGTTCATTATGATTGAATTTTTTAACCGGTTAACCAAGCATGTATGACAACTTATGATCACAACCATCACATGATTGTCTCGTGCCCATCTAATGGCCTGAAATTCAACCAGACCAATTTGTCGACTTTCTGAGTACCTATTCAGATGGTGTTTCTCGGTATGTGCTTAAGTAATTGCTACTCTTGTTCGGAGTGGGTAGAAATATGTCTGGAATCTGTTTCGCTTTTCACGAGAAACCATCCTCCGAAACAACACCAAATAAACACTCTTACCTCAAAAATGTTAATCACCTGGTGCTTGTCACACTATTGTAATTGGGTAGGCATCAGCACGACACATGCTAATTAATCATGCGATTTTATAAACAGAAAGATGCGAAATTGTACCAAGATAGGCAAGGACAAGTTAGATATCAAGTTATCTGAAAGAACGAATGAAAACAAACAAGGATTTGCTTCGCAATGGCGAGACAGAAGTTGAAAGCTTTGATCAGTGAGAATGAGGGCGAAGGTTTTTTTCCCGCCAATTGTGACAGAAGTTTATTTTGATGTCTGTCACGTCATTGACTGTGTTCAAAAGATAATGCATTTACACAAGCACAGGTCGGATATGGGTAAAACACATGGACAAAGAGCTTCCTTGGTTCTCATAGCCTTTTCCAAAGAAAGAAAGTACTCAAAGTTTCCGTTAGGAAAAAAAGTGTACATAGCTCAAAAATTACATTGTGGGTGCCCATACCCCCCCCCCCCAAAAAAAAAAACAAACACACACAACCACATCACAATGAAGGCATTCATTTGAAAGGAAATAAGTTACAGTTGTTTGTAAAATCTACAATTTATGTTTATTGCTTAATCAAGTTGTCAGCCAAATGTTCCGAACATGTAGCTGTAAGAATTAGAGACAGTACCAATGCAAACAAGAAAATGTACTGTACCATCCACTTTATAGCCCCATCTAGCACCACATCTTTGAACTGCAGGTTCACTATCTCTTGAACATCACATTCTTTGTTGAACTCCACTTCCATTCAACTCTACATTTGTTTCCTTCTTCCTTCATATTCATGACATATAATATATCTGTAAATGTATTGGACAAAACAGACACAACAGCACCAAAAATGTTCAAAAGCACCATAGATTCAGTAAACCATTTCATTCACTGATGCTACATTGAAACAATCCTATATTTTAACTGTACAGAATGGTTGATGATACACAATGGTACATAACATACATGTAGCTGACATAGAAAGTTCAGAAATGGAGAGCAAACCTAGTGAATCCAATCAGGAAAAAGCTCTTACAGTAAAATAGATGATTCATATCATATGATATGGTTTGTTGTTACAGTAGCATTTTATGAAAAATTCACACCATACAATGTAATTGTCAAGCTCTTCCCATACCTGCTAAATATGTGTCTTGTAATATGAGAAAATAAGTCATTATTAAGGAAAGCAGCCTGTGTCATTTCTAATTTGAATGATCCTGTAATGTTAGGCTTGTGGTTTCAGCCTGCATCAGTCTACTGTGACATTCTACACTGAAGTTGACACTCCTCAATTTCCAAGCTGGGAAGGAACACAATGTTCAAAACAAACGTCAAGGTCAAAAAGGCCAGGCAAATCCAAGATGGCGGCCTCCGCTCATGTTCCATATCTCTCCAGCGAGGTTCCACCACAACTGCTCCAATACAGTGCCACCGGGCGCGGGTAACACTTGGCTGTTTTCTCAAAGTCATCCTCAAATTTCCAGTAATATCCACTCTTGAAGAAGTAAGTTATGCCATTTTTCCAGCGTAAGGCTGCGTCTAGGTGATTGGGCACTCCGTGCCAGTATTTGCGGATCAGTTTAGGAAATCCTGGATCGACTTTTCTAGTGAATTCGTTCCAGACCCAGAATTTTTTGCCCCTGAAGATGACGATTCTGTTTTTAGGGCCCCAGACCAGAGCGGCATCTGGGTTCTTTGGCAAACCCGTGCCCTTTGTTTTTATAGGAAAACTGCTGTCCAGGATGTTGTTGTTGTATCTCCAAAGTCGATCACCTTTGGGAGAAAGAAACAGATCAGAAAGATGTCATGTACCTTAAAGACCTCTAAAATAAAGGTCCCGTTCCACTCTATGCAGAGCATAGGGGTGGTGCCCATCTTCATTTTCGTAGCCCTTGGGCGACACACAGTTGTGCAATGCACTACAGCAGGGGGCTGGTCTGCTGGTAGTACTGTGTGTTTGACCTTCCCACACTCCTTCTCATTTGTGCTGAGTGCTGAGCAGAGAAAGAAGTGTCTTTGGTATGACCCGGCCGGGGTTTGAACTCACGGCCTCCCGGTTACAAAGCGAGCACTCTACTAATTGAGCTATTGCACCAGTTATACCTCTAAAATAGTGGCATATAAATGATCTTACTACTACTAAAACTTTGCAGGGCTGTGTGAACTTAGAGCAGACCATTTTTCTCATCCCATTGCATATTGGGAAATGAGCAGGGCATTATGGGCTCCCAGCATGCAAGAGGATCCGTACAAAGGTGTAATGCTTCATTTAACTCAGAAATGCCACAGCTGTTTCAGGTGGTTACCTTTGAAGAAGTATGTTCTTTTTGTGTAGTAAGACGTCACAGCAGCGTTGACGTTCCCCGGGAGCCCTGGCCAGCGATGTTTGATCAGCAGCGGCTGCGGCCGGCCGATCATCTTTTCTTCATTCAGCCTCCAGTAGTACCTGCCTCTCATGACGTAGGTCCTCATGTCTGCACCTATAACACAAACAACAATGTACCAGGGGCGCCAGAGTATACAGTGCAATTTTACGGAATACAGTGCAATTGTCTTTGCAATTTTACGGAATACAGTACAATGGTCTTAGCATACAGTGCAATTCTACGGAATACAGTGCAATCATATTAGTATACAGTGCAATTTTACAGAATACAGTACAATGGTATTAGTACATGTATACAGTGCAATTTTACAAGTATACTAATATGATTGCACTGTATTCTGTAAAATTGCACTGTATACTAATAGTAAATACGATTGCACTGTATTCTGTAAAATTGCACTGTATACAAAAATGACGATTGTAGGTGAAAATTTTATACGATTGTAGGTGAAAACTCTACCCAAGTTTTCATACCCATGAACATGGCATCAAAAGGTCCAGAACACGTGCTGGGTCTTCGTTTACTGATCGCTGGCTTTGTTCTTCTCTTCAGGAGGTCTTTTAACCAGTACTCCACTTTAGGGCATGGACCTACAGATTGATAAAATGAAGAAAATTCAGTATCTCAGGGCTTTATAAAGGAAGATAACTGGTTATCAAGCTGGTGTGTTACGCCTTAGGGCGGTTATACCGGCTGTACAGATACAGATACAGATCATGACAAAGTATCTTTTCTATGTGTTAAGTAAAGATTACACACTAGCTATCAGTACAATACATCAGTAAAATACTTTACTGATACAACAAATGTATAGTGACCTCCTACATGTATGCAAAGTACAACAAAACAATCAGACATCCACAAACATTTAAATTCCAGACATCATAATTATACTTATTTACATAAGATTATTTAAAAAGCTATGAACATGACTATGAATAAATTTTTAAAAAATTGCGACAAATACCGACCGTAAACCGCCTGTATAGCAGCCGTGTCATCAGCAGACAGTTTCTCCATGTCCTTATGTTTCATGATGTCCCTGTACTTTGGCCTCATGACCGCCCCGTCTACCTTAGAGTGTCCCAGACCCAGGCTGTGCCCTAGTTCGTGGGCTGCGATGATGAAGAGGTCCTTCTTCGGGCTGTTCTCCTGTTTGAGAGCCCAGATTTCATCATTGTCAAAATGTACGTCACCATCTTGGGGGAAGAATGCATGCGCATAGATGCCACCTGTTTGAAAAACAAAAGTGTACAATGTATGTTCAATAGATAAATTGTAGCAGTAGGCATTCATCGGTCTTACAAGACCATGAAGTACTTCATCTACACCATATGCATGTACTTATTATTGGTTTTGCGCTTAAAGCGCAGGGCTCGAAATTAACATTGTCCCAGTGTCAAATGACACTAAATTTTCAGCTCGGGACAATTCAAATTATGCTTCGGGACAATTTTGGGGCAATTGTAAAATTCTGAGACCATCCACGTCATTTAGGAACGCAATCCATCTATCCTGCTGCGGGCCGCCAGCAGTCCATAATACTCTGACAAACATTTGAATTTGACCAGTCAGGATTTTCCAAATGTCGGGGAGGGGGGCCTGAAGATGGTGGCGCACCCATGATACTATCATGCATTTCCCTACAGTCTGGGAAAAATGATGGATATTTACTAATATTATTTACTTGAACTGTTGAAGTGGACTTCAAGTTGTACAAATTCAGTTGTTGTTGTTTTTATTGTTGTCGCTTATTTCCTGAAAATCAGGCTGGGACAGTTCATCCTCAGTTCGGGACAATTGAAATCTATTTTTGGGACAATTCTGGGACAATAGAAAAAAAAGTTAATTTCGAGGCCTGAAGCGTCTCAGTTCTGATGTGAGTCTCTAAATTGTACACAGACATATAATATTCTTGTGACACTGATGAATTGTAATAATGTAAAATGGATTACAATGGCACAATATCGTCTCACCATTTTCATTACTGTTTCATCATTGATAGATGATGACAAGTAGTGCATCGGCAAAATGTATTGTGCCTGTTTAAAACTACTGTTATGTTGGATCTTGGGCAACGTTGCAACAGAATTTTATCCATTGCAAAGATATCTTTTCTGGCACAACATTTGATAACTACAGATGGGATATCATCCTTAAACAAGTAAACACAACCTTGAATGATATGTTTGTTGCACATTATGCTCCAGGTTTTGAGCACAGTACATGTATGTTCTGTTGCTGTGCTACATTTGTATGACATTAGCAAAGACCAAACTACAGAAATGACGTGATTCGTACCTTCCCCATCAAAAGGGTACCCGTCGTTGTGATCACCCTTGATAAACTTTACCACGAAATCTGCCTTCTGTCCGTCCTTCGCCTCGTAAAACGTGAGGGGCGAGGCGTCGCTCCACAGCTTGATGGCGCGTGCCACCGTGTTTTGTACCCGGTACTTCTCAGCTTCGTTGTCGTGCGGCGAGTTGACGATGCGGTAGTACAGATGTTTCTTTTTCCACTTACTCGCTGCAAAATGTGACCAAAACAGAATCTTACTAAATCCACAAAAAAGACGTAAATTACTTGAGTTGCAAATGATGAAAAATACAGCAATGCAACTCAAACTCAAAGAGTTCAAACAAAGCATTTTTTGATAGCTGCTGAAGCAAATTGCGGTTTTGTTATGTCCTGAGTTTTTTTTTTGCAAAACGTGAGCAAAACAGAATTTTACTGAGTTCACTAACAAAAAAGGAGTTGAATTGTTTGAAAATGATGAAAAAATACTAAGAAAAGCACGTCAAACTCGAAGAGCTTGAGACAAAGCATATATATAATTTTTTTAAAGCTTTTTAAAGTTTTTTTAGCCAAGCACAGTGAGCCATGCTTATCTCCATAAGAGTGTTGGGCTCTTAACAAATTACGTAGAATTAAAACAGCGTATACGCTCTATGCAAAATGCGCCAATTATGCTTTTGTAGAGTGGTCCGTCTACGCTCTACAAAGAGTTAAAACAGCCAATTACACTCTACGGAAAAGGGCATGCGGGCCCCCTTTTACATGCAGAGGTTTGATGCCTATGGTTGATGTCACTATACAATGGTCCACAGCCTTAGGGTTTATGTCCCCATCTGAAATGACTGATGCAACCCCTAGCCTCACACCATGCCCAAGCGGGGCTTGAACCTTCACCTTCACAAGCAGCCAACAGGAGCGAATTGAAAGCAAAACTGACAGAAATGTTACCGTATAAGGAATATCTCTTCACCCTCCCATTGCTGTCATGAGTGGCGTCAAGGACAGAGTCGTCAAACCCACAGACCAAGTCGTCCATTCCATCATCTTCTTTGTCATCTGTACCTCCTCTCAACACTCTGGGCAAAAGGACACAATACACCCGGTACCTTTATAACGAGTTCTTTATTGCAAGTTCATGCCTGAGGGCTAATTGCAAACAGACATTGACAAAAACAATATAATTTATACAGAATTTGCTGACAAAATGAGAAAACATAATAAATTCCTATCAAATATATTTTACTACAATGTATCAATAGAGTTAGATTAGTATAATTAGTGTCTCTTTATTGTTATACATTGTTTATGAAAGTAGACCAGATTCCTAAGCAAAACAGCTTATACCATTGAGTTGTATGTTGTCAATGTGATCGTACACCTGAGCAAGAGAACCTACATTGTACTTCAACATCATGACAGTATAGTGAAAGCCTCAGGACTAATGGCAATGCTTCATTTGGTTCAGTCAATGATTATTGAGTACTTACCCTGCGCCCACCCATGATGTACTGTTTGCTCGGTTCTCACCTATCTCATTTGGACTATTCCATTTTGTCACCTAAATATGAAGAGAGAGAGAAAGAATAATGAGTGATTCCTCTTAAATTTTACATTTTTTCCTGTTAAATTTTACAAACATCAGATCATTCATTTTTGAAAAAAGTATCGAGTGTAATTTAAAGATACTGGTTAGTTCAAAATTATACTTATATTAACTGAATACCATCATGCTGATTTTACCAATTGTAGCCTTCCAACTTAGCAATTTATTGGAGATAAATTTCGATCAATGACTTAGAGGGTATACGGACAGTTTGCTACACTATAAATGTATCAGGTATTAATGGCGTCGTGACCTTTGACACTATGCCAAATAAAATAACAGTCTTGGAAAAATAAGGTAAAATAACAAGTCTTGGAACTGCTGTATGATTTTCGTTCAAGAAATTGGAATCTTAACCTTTGCGGCTACCTTTTAAGTAAATTTGTAACATATTCACAGCCTATAGAAACACTGCAATGTAAACATGGGGAGGGGGGCTGTTTCCGGCAAACTTAGAACATAGAAGTCTTCATCGGGGATTTAGGTTTGTAAATGGGATATTTCGACAAAATAGAAGCACATACCTAGCCCTAAACTCACCTTTAGTGGTTTAAAATCACCAAAACCGTAGTTTGAATCTAAAATTTGGGGAAAACGGACTTATAAAACTAAAATTGTCGAAAACCTCCGGCTTCCCAAAAAGTTTTGTCACACATTCACCTTTGACCTCTTCATCAAAGAGGTCACGTGACCTGAACCTGATTACCCAAATGTCATCACTTGTCCATGACGTGTCGAACTCGACACTTTTTCTTCCCTTTCTGAAACATTGTAACACTTAATATGCAGGTCGTATCTACATTGTCAGGCACAAAACTTCATCACTTTTTCAACGATGAATTGAAGAAGACTTTCTTTGATTTGTATCTTTTTTTATTAATCATTCACCACAAAACAAGGCTCATGAGAGCCACTCAAAAGTGTTTTGGGTTACTGTACAGCCAGTGAGGACAGATGTTTGTTGACCTTAACCGTTACACTAAGTGACTTCGGAAACGGTCAAATGTATGACCGTTTCCAAAATCATATCCAGTTGCTTCAGTAACTGCTTTTTGGCGTATCTATGCTATTATATGGTACTACTAAATATATTTTGCACCGTGGAGAATACCGTGTTCTAGTGTTTTGCCTTGCTCAGGACTCCCGTGGATTGTATCAGTTGGGCATTAGTCCCACAGCATGTATGGAATGATCATGACATTTCAAGGTCAAATGAACTCTCGACAGATTTTGACACACAGTTCCGGCTCCATTTCCAACATGGCGGCCATTATAAGGATAGGGCAATGGGGGTTGAGGAGAGGAATTCAGTTTGGTGCCAAAACTGTACCGGAGACAAATTGTCGAATTAGTAGTGGAAGGGTACGTCCGGTCATCTACCTAACAGTGGCATAGTAGATGTCTATAAAAGGTGAAAACATCACTGCTGAAGCTCTTCTTTCTTTCTTTCTTTCTTTCTTTCTTTCTTTCTTTCTTTCTTTCTTTCTTTCTTTCTTTCTTCTCTCTCTCTCTCTCTCTCTCTCTCTCTCTTTATTTCTTTCTTTCTTCTTTCAGGCTTAGGAATGGCAAAGGATATACAAATACCCAAATTACATGAACCGGCCACGTAGTACACACATCGGAATGTCCATGAGGCCGTTTTAGAGCACTTGGCTGTATGGCATTTGACATACATGAAAGTCAACAAATGCACACGTAGTTCAGATGTTTGTCTGTCCATGAGGCTACTTGCTCAGGATGTTGGCTTAATGCTATACGCGAGAACACGTTTAAAGTCGAGGTCAAACGAAGCGCGATCCTTAAAAAGTTCTAACGGTTACCTAATGTGATTCCGGGAAAGCGACACCGCCTCTTCCAGGGTGACAGTTTTGGAGATGTGTGGACCACCCAGCTTCAAACCTCTCTCTGTCGTGACCGCCATGCCTTCATTTCGTTATGTGTCAAAAGAACGTATCCATTACACAGCGACGCTGCAGTTCATACAATTGTCATTATGAAAAAGATTCTAGTTTGACTAGGTGTTTAGAATATCCATTTTTTCTACATGTGCTTTCGGTTTCTATCAGTAGTGCTTAAAATAGGTGCTTTAGGTGCTAGATCTATATGTTTTCTCCATTTTAATAGCAACAAGCACAGAGAAGTACATGTATGTAGCTAGTCTTCCTGGATTGAGATATGCATCAAAATATAGGTAAAACTGTGTGATCAAAGGGCAAGAAACAAAGATGGGCGCCGCCTTACACACCGAAAGAAGGTGTTGGAAGGACATCAACTTTTCAAACCGGTAGCAACTTTATGATTATTTTGCATGACGGTTGCGAACTATATTTCTAACTGTTCTCTTTTTTCACTGCAGGCTTTGAAAACGTATATCGAATCTAATCTTCAAAACGTTAACGCCTACAATGTAACCTTAAGCTATCATACACGACACGTATAGATGCGTTCCTTCAAAACGGGTGGTTTCTATAATAGAATTTGAGACAGATCCTTGTACCCGGTGGTTACGTTTAGCTGCGACCTGTAAATCTTTAATGTAGTCCGTCTTTAAACTGTCACGCGAGAGGGCCAACCTCCTCGGTGTTAGTCACGGACCACAGACGACACAAAACCGCATGGAAACTATTTGTCACTCACGAATGGTGCCAGTCGGTGAGACCTTGCACTTGTAAGGATCAGCGGATCTTCAGTTTGACTTGGCTCGGGAGATACTAACTCAGGAGGGTCGACTGTTCCTTGTATATCGTTTGACTCGTTCATCTTATTAGCCACGTGTCTAAGCTTTTGATCTACTTCCAATGTAACTTCTAAAGAAAATTACGTAATTAGTAAAGTGTTTCATTTATCAATGATACACATTGTACCACCTGCTATATCAATGTATTGCCACCAAAATTTTCCTAATTATATAATACTTTGCCCTTGACTTTGTGGTTTATTATCTAAGTCTGCGATGCAGCTGAAATATCACCAACCGCTAGGGGGTCTCCTCACTTCTTGACACTTGTTTGGTGATTTTGTTCTTATTAAATCTTTGCTTATTTTCTTAGCGTGAGCTCTTGCTACTTGGAATATGTACCGTAGATCTAGAGCTCCTACTAAACCCTAGCTCAAGTTCTTAACAATCTTAACGTGGGCGTTTATCAGTCTATCTTTCTCTACAGGGTAGTAAAGTCAGAGTAAGGGTGTTAGTTTATACTTGTCTGTCACAACATGCAGAGGAAGAGGACCAGTTGGAACATCCTTTGATAAACTGTCTTCTGTGAATCCATTTCGTAGACAATAACAAGCACGTCGGCAGAACGATATAGTGCGTCTGTGCGACACGCCCATTTTCACGGTTTTCGTTGGATTTTGGACAACGTTGCATCAGAATTTTGCCTGTTGCAGACGATATCTTTTGGACATAACGTTTGGAAACTACAGATGGGATGTTAAACATTCACGAATTTTAGCTCAAAGTTAGCATATATAAGAAGTGACAAGAGTGTACACTAGTTGTTGCCACATGTAAATAACAACCTGTCCTACTGTATTTACATCCGGATTTCCGGATTTACTCAAACAAACT